CAGCCACGCGCAGGCCCGGCCATGCCCAGGCCCGCCGCTGCTGCCGCACAGACCCGGGCCCGCCGCCACCGCCGCCTTCTTTTTTCTTTTTTCTGAGACGTTTTTGCTACAGGGTGCATGTGCTCACAAGAAAGAGAGAGACAGAAAGTGAGAAACCACCTCCCCGGGGGATGGTCACGCCGCAATCCCTTCTCCTCCATTCTCTTGGGATCTTGGGCACACACGCACACGCGCCCGGCATGAGTTTAAGCCACCGGGTCTGGAACTCAAATCGCGGTTGGCTACATGGGAGTCCAGCGATGTGGTCATTACTCTAGCTGCTGGTCCCATAGGTCCACACCCTGCTTTCAGACTATGTGCTCTGTTTTCACCATGTGTCTGTGGAGATGCCCGTCTTCTCCTGCAGCCTGACGCAGCCACCCCTCATTACTATTTTTTTAAAGAATTGTTTATTCATTATCATTATTTTTAATTTGACCAGAGAGAGAAAAAGGGAAAGTGAGAAAGCAAGCCACCACGTCCCACACTCAAGGCGTGAATTACCTTGTGGGAGTCCAGTGCCTTAATCATTATGCCACCTGCTGGCCCCATTATTCTTAATTATTCTGCACTCATATTATCCTGGATTTTGCCAGTGGAAGCCCCTTCAAGTTTTCTTCGTCCTTGTAATACTTTCTTTTTAGAGAGCTTTTGTTTATTTATTTATTATTATTATTATTATTTTTAATAGGGCGTGTGCACTCACCAGGGAGACAGAGAGACAGAAAGCAAGAAATCACCCCCAGGGGGCATGGCCATGCCACAGTCCCTTCTCCTCCATTCTCCGGGATTTTTTGGAACGCATGCACACGCACCTGGTGTGAGTTTAAGCTGCTAGGCCAACTGGGGTTGATTATGTGAGAGTCCAGCGATGTAACCATTACAGCATCTGCTGGTCCCTCCCTGTGATACTTTTTAAACACTTACTTCCTTTCTGGCTTAATGAGTTGCTCCAGGCTCATCTTGCGCTGTTCCTTTCCTTATCTGCAAACTTTCTTCTTCAGCTAGCCTCAGGGTCTGCTCCACAGGATGAATGGTTGGCGGTGCTGGAGGAGGAAAGAAGGAGGGGGTCCAAGAAAGGGTTCAGTGGTCAACGGTTTCAAATGCAGGGAAAGATCCAGGGCTGGGCACATCATTCTCCACTTCCAGGCTAGGCGGGTGTCCTAGGCAGGAAAGGTGAGCAGAGTCAGTTTCCAGGTCCTCTACCTGGAGCCAAGCACAATGAGGGATGCACAGGTTAGAAGACGCCACTTTCAGCATGGACACGTGTGTACAGAGTCACCCCAACACATCCGGGAGAAGTGTCTTTTTTTTTTTTTTTTTGCTATAGAGCTTGTGTGCTTGCCAGAGAGAGACAGAGAAAATGAGAAGTCACCCTCCCCAGGGTGGATGGCCACGCTGCAGTCCTTTCTCTTCCACTCTCTGCTTGGGATTTTGAGCACACACACACAAGTGCCTTGTGTGATTTTCAAGACACTGGTCTGGGACTCAAACCATGTGGTCAGACATGTGTGATCCAGCACCTTAACCTCCGTGCCACTTGTTGGCCCCCTGAAAGTGCGTCTTTATTGTGCTGTCAGTGAGGGACATCAAGGCGTTTCCAGAGTTCTGGAGTGAAGCACGTCTTCGTGGCTGGACCTGTGAAGACTTCACTGGGGTGGGATTTGAGGTAGATGTTGAAAGAGCGTAGGATTTGGAAGAACGGTTTTCCGGGTGAAACCAGAAGTGACTAGTTTTGAGCTCCGAATCGAATATCTTTACCGTTTCTTTCAACTAGGTTTGGCCCCTTGCCAGATATTGTATGGACCATAAGAAGTGGCTAGTATGGGACCAGCAGGGGGCGTGGTAGTTAAGGTGCTGGACTCCCACGTGGCTGACTGTGGTTTGAGCCCCCGACCTGGCGGCTTGCTTTCTCACTTTCCCTCTCTCTCTCTGGTGAGTGCCTGTATCATGTTTAAAAACAACAATAAGAATAAATAAAATTTTAAAAATAATTAAGAAAATAAACATATAAAAAGAAGTGGCTAGCAAGTGCCGGCAGGGCACACTGTGCTCGGGCCAGGAGGGAGAGATCTGTGCTGACGCCCTGCACTCCTTTCAGATCCCGATGAAACGTGCCCGTCGTTCACCAGGCTGAGCTTTCACAGCGCCGTGGTTGGCACAGGCCTAAACGTGAAGCTGATGCTCTACACCAGGAGAAATCTGACCTGCGCGCAAACCGTCAACTCCACAGCTCTGGGGCACCTGAACGTGACCAAGAAAACCGCCTTCATTGTGCACGGGTTCAGGCCGACGGGCTCCGCTCCAGTCTGGATGGGCGACTTGGTAGAGGGCTTGCTCTCTGTGGAGGACATGAACGTGGTTATCGTTGACTGGAACCGAGGCGCTACGACGGTGATGTACCACTACGCCTCGAGTCGGACCAGAAAAGTCGCCACGGTCTTGAAGGAATTTATCGACCGTATGTTGGTAAGAGAGAATTCAGATTGAAACTAGCCCATTATCTGGAGGTTTAAAGCCAAGAGCTGGGCCTGCAAGTGGTGAGGAGGTTAAGGCGGCTGGATCCCACATGGCCAACTGGGCAGTTCCAGTCCCAGACCAAGTGGCTTGAAAAATCACACCAGGTGCATGTGCGTGCCCAAAATCCAGAGAGGAGAATGGAGGAGAAGGGATTGTGGCGTGGCCATCCACCCTGGGGGGTGATTTCTCACTTCCTCTCTCTCTTTCTGTGTCTCTGTCTGGCAAGACACAAGCACTGTGCAATGAACATCGAGACCATTTGCAACATGTTGTAAATCCGAATAAGCCTCATGGAAGGTTGGTTGGGGAGTGACTGCAGGTCAGTTCTGCAGGTGTGGTCGTGTAGTTTGTGCACTGTACAGGCCACCCAGCTAAAGGAGCATAGATGTCATTGTGCATTTGTAGATTTTTTTTTTTTATTATTATCATAATCTTCTTTATATTACATTGGATTACATATAACTTTACATTGACTTACATTGCTTTTTCAAAAGGGAATGCCATGCATGTCAGTCAATACAGAGGCATCGATCTCCCCGCTTTATCATTCAAAGTCTTTTCCATGCATTTCCCAATAATTATTATTATTATAATTTTTTAAAACAGTCAATCACTATTTCTCATTTTGCTTGTTAAAAGACTTCACCCATCATGAAATACTTCCCAGACCAGTCCAGTTGAGAATACTATACACGTCATCTTCAACAGATAATAAACCATATCTGTTTCTCACTAACATCCCCTCTATTGTTCACTTGCTATCTTTCTCTATCCTCTTCTCTTTTTTTTTTTATAGTTTATTTTTTATTATAATTTTTTTTTCCCATCGCAACACACAAATGAATTTTCCATCCAATATATACTGTGCGTTGGCTCAATCAAGCACGTCAACATATATGTTCTCAGCAAATAATTTCCCAATTCTTGTGTCCTGCATACCTTGCCTTTTGTTTTACCATCCTAGATTCCCCATCCCCCTCCCTCTGTTATGACCCATCCTCCTCCCACATTGTCCCTGTCATCCCCGATTGCCCTCCGTGCCTCACCCCTCCCCAAATGATCTGTCAGTGATCTTAATTAGTCTAAGTCTCTCCAATAGTTATCACAGCTGACACATGCCTCTACATGAACTCAAGTCTGACTTTAGGCCTAAACCCCATTGGGTAAAAAGAGCATACTATAAAGTAGAACCCAACTGGGCCCATACCGCTCACTGCAGCCATCAAATATCCAATTTTTTTTTTTAAATGGTACGAATAGTTTAACCGTTTTTTTTTGTTTGTTTTTTGTTTTCGTTTTTTTCCCGTAACATTCATTCCCTGAGCATCATCACAGCGTACTAAATGTAATCTCCCATCTAGAATAAACTGCACAGTGACCCAATCAAGCATGTTATCATCAATAATATTCCACTTCTACTTTCTTGCTTATGCACATATATGTTTTTTTTCCTCTTCCTCTTTTTTTTTATTTTTTTTTATTTTTCCTATGTTTGTCCCTCTGCCCTGTCTCACTCTCCCATTACAATATCCCTGCTATATACAGTTGTCTTCCAGAAGAGTTACTGAAAAAGTGATACATACAAGTAAAGGGAGAGAGGCCACAAGTTCCAACCATCAGCTCATAAAGTTTTTGGTAATAGGGAGCATAAACTCCACTCAGGGTTGGATAAGGAAGGGTCTCCGGCAGATCCACAAGTGTAGGTGAGTCTCCAAGGAATGCAGTTTCAGGAAAGCAGTTCTGGTACACAGGGATAATTATCAGCTGATGCGGCACAGCAGTCATCTTGTAGTTACCAGGAATGGTGTTGTGGGGGTCTGCAGTGTGAGTTGTCCTTGGGTATCTGGCTTCCTTAAAAATGGCAGAGTAGTTCTTGTTTTCCCCTGAGGTAATGCAGGGCTGGTAACTATCATCTTCTTAAGTTGCAAGTTCTTCAACCTTGTTTTCGGCCTCCTCCGGGCCATCCCGGGCCAGAGAAGGGAGGGGCAGGGAGGCCCCCCGGGCCGCGTGGCGCGCCCCCCGGAGTGGAGGAGCACCGGCCAGGCCGATCCCGGCGCGCGGCTGCACTGGGGAGGGGCCGTTCCCGGCGCGCCCATTTGTAGATTTTTTAAAGAGTTATTTATTCATTCATTTATTTTAATTTGATCATGCGTGCGCACACACACACACACACACACACACACACAAAGAGAAAGAGAAAGAGAGAGAGAGTCAAAGTGAGAAAGTAAGCCACCAGGTCTGGGACTTGAACTGTGGTGAGCCATGTGAGAGTGTCCAGTGCCTTAACCACCACACCACCTGCTGGCCCCTGTGAATTTGTAGATTTTTTTCATTGTAATTTTCTAACAGATAACAACAAGGTATCTTGAGGAAGAAGCATTTTTGTAAAAGAGTATTTATTTAATTTTACTTATTCACTCATTCATTTTAATTTGACCAGAGAGAGACAGAGAGGACAAAGAGAGACAGCAAGCCACCAGGTCCAGGACTCGAACTGTGGTCTGCCATATGGGAGTGTCCAGTGCCTCAAACACCATGCCACCTGCTGGCCCCCAGGAAGGGCCATCTTTTTCCAATTCATATAAAGGTATCTCAGGAGTAAGAGGTTCTGTTTAGGGGCTTCGTAGTTTGAAAGCCTAGAACGTCGTCAACTTCTATAGCTATTTCTTTTGCTAGAAATGCCAAAAGTTTAGTGAACAGATTAGCCAAAACCGGAATGGAGAGCTATGGTCTTAGAAGACTTATAGAGGTTAAACCTTACATGTTTATTTAGTGAGCTAGCTCATGATAGATATTTTAACAGCCGCAAGGTGACAACAAACCAAGACAGTTTCAGGGAGAAAGGCCTGACGGCTCCTGGGGCCAGGGGTGACAGGAGTTTTACACGAGCGCCTCACTAAGCCACAGCCTCAGGGAAGTGTCAAAGGGACCCAGGACAAGCTGTCCCAGCAGCGTATGGACCGTGGCCTGCTCCCACTCCCACTCCCACCTTTCCTTCTCTCCTCACCCTGACGGCATGAGCCTAGCCTATGAACAAGGAAGTTTATTGAAATAGAATGCGGCCCTCTCCCCAATTTAGAAGGCTTGGTTCCTTTTTTCTTTTCTGTTTTCAGTTTATTTATTCCTCTGTGCCCATGAGAGAGGGAGAAGCAGGGTCTTGATATCTGCACCCACCCCAGCTTCAGCCAGTCTGGCATTCTCAGGAAGGTCTCTGGGTGCGGACTAGGGCCGCCCACGTGGGTCAGCCTCGGCCTGCATCCTTTTAGGGCCTCGGGTCTCGGCCTGGTTTCTGGCTGAGGCCTGATGGGGACGCTGTGGGTCAGGGTTAAGGGCGCGGTTGGACAGACTAGCCTGAATCCTGCTCTGGCCCGTCCGCACGCAGGGGAGAGGACGTGCGCCCTGGGCCTGTTTCCCCATCTGTGTGAGCGGAAGAATAGTGCTGGCCTCCTGGAGGCCTCGCCCTAAGTGAGCCAGCAGGTGGGAGGCGCCGCGGGGCAGTGGCGGGGCAGGTGTTCGCCTGGGGGAGCCCTGTGCAGGCAATGCAGAAGTCTGGGTTTGAAGCCGGCTCTTCCCACTCCCTGAAGTCAACAGCTAGCGCGGTTCACCCAATGCCATCAGTCTTGGCTCCTCACACTTTATAATGCCGGTCCTCTTGGCATTGCAGGCAGAAGGAGCTTCTCTGGACGACATTTACATGATTGGAGTGAGTCTAGGAGCCCACATAGCTGGGTTTGTCGGAGCGATGTATGAGGGGCAGCTGGGGCGGATTACAGGTAAGGCTCCTCCGGGGCGGGGCCGGGGCCGGGGCGGGGCAGGTGTTCGCCTGGGGGAGTCCTATGCAGCCAATGCAGATGTTGGGTTTGAAGCCCACTCTTCCCACTCCCTAACCTTCTGGGCATGTGTCTTCTTGTGCGAAAGGAAGACCATCATAATCTTGACCTCAGACTCTGAGATACTAAAATAGAGGTAAATTGTAAGCGCCACAGAAAAGATTGGTGGGGACTCTTTCTCTGACGTCCCTTAGGGATTTGATCTGTGTGCCCAGACAGCCTCCTGCCTGTCACTTAATGCAGGATATTTGAACCACAGACCTAACACACGTCACAGCTGGAGTCTCGGGAGAGGAAAACGAGAAGGGAACGTTGTGGCTGGGGCCG